AGTGTTGTCTCGGCCGGTCGCATTGGTTAGTCTCGTCTGACCGAAGACCAAAGTCTGTCTCCACTTTTCTCCCGACGTCGTGTCATACTCTTTTTATTTCTCGATAGACTTTAATTTCGTACCTCTGTACAGGGTCATCTCTGGATGTATGACTATAGTGGACTTGTAGTCGTCCTTCCTGGAAATTCTCATCTCTGTATGTGCTATCTGTGGACTTGTAGTCGTCCTCCCTGAGAAACTTTCAATCTCGTTACTGTATGACTATCTGGTGTACTCTGCTAGTCGTCCTCTCCTGAGAAATTCATCTCTGTGATGTATCGACTTATGTACGAACCTTGAAGTCGTCCTCGTCCTGAGAAATTCATCTCTGTGTATCGTATGACTATACTTGGACTTATAATCGTAGTATCCCGGGGACAAACTTTACGGTAAAACTTAGAGATTTATTTAAGTACTTATTTCATAACATCCTCGTCGCTTATAGGGTGGAGGTTTAACAAATGCATGTCTGTGTAACAAGTAACTTTTAGAAACTCTTCTTGTGGGTTCATTACATTTATAGTAAAGCTACTATACCCTTTTACTCCTTAGGGAGGTATAGTTTCAGTGAAGTCAAACACCCATGTCGTCTCTAGCTTTATGCAAAGGATGTAGGTCTCTATGTCTTTATGTTTATACCCATATGTTTATACACTGTATATGTGCTTAGTTGCTGTAAACCCCGAGTAGCGAGTTGTAGAACTTACCAATTCCTATAAATAGAGCCACCGCCCCCACACATTAGTCGAGCCCTCGGCACGCTCCTCTATATGCTTGACTACACGAGTCTAAAGTTGGACGACTCTCTCCTCTTTTTTTTTCACGTAAATCCGTCTCTGACAGGTTATCGTCGCTTAGTAAGGCGTTATAGCGTAAACACGACAGAAAGTCCTTAAGATGACGGGTAACTTTCTCGTGTAGGTCATCTGTCAACCGGTGTCCTTTACTCAACGGCATCGGGCTGGTATAAAAGCCAGCCACACAGGTCTATGAAGACGTCGGTTATAGTTTCATGATTGGAAGCACTTGAAGAAGGGAAGGGGGCGAGGAGAAGGAAAGGGAAAAGTGCTAAGAAGGGCGTCTTCAAGAGCGGGTCACGTCGCTTAGAGATGTCCCGCCCCTTAGCCTGTCACGTACAATGTGTTGGAGCGCTAGCCAATAGGAGCGCGAGTGTTACATAGTGATGTTGCCATGTTCCTGAAGTAGACAAAGGAGTCCAATGGAGGCGTTTGGGATTTTAGCCTCTGCAGACCATTTACATGCACACAACCCTATACAACACACTACAGACAGGGGAAAACCCCAAAAAGCAGAGTGTAAACCCAAAAAGCAGAATGTAAACCCAAAAAGCAGAATGTAAAGCTGCTAAAATGCCAACTGCTGTCAAATGGTGAATATACATCCAGCCTGCATTGTATCTGCAGCTGCTGACAGTGTGTGTTTAGGCTTCATACAATGTGTTTTTAGACAATAGTGGGCTTCCAACTTGGTGGGAACAGTTTGCGTTTAGCCTTTTTCCTGTTTGAATGTTCCATAAAGGTAAAGCCAGCTCCATTATAAAATGGTTTCCCAGTTTGGTGTGGAGGAACTGGACTGGTCTGCACAGAGCTCTGACCTTTACCCATCATACACCTTTGGGATGAACTGGAACACCAAATGTGACCCAGAGCTCATCACCAAACATCAGTGTTAGACTCAATACAAGGGTTATTCGTGTCTAAAAAAATAGCATTTAGCAATCTTTTGTATCTTACTATAACAACATTTCAATATTAATGAAGAAGAAGAGAATTTGGAACAACAGTGATGTCAACTATTGGTCCAAAACCTGCCTTTCGTGACACAACTACTTAGAACAAACACTTTTCCAGGAGCTGCATCATACTGGATGTGAATCTCAATAGAAGTTACTATCAAACAACATTCAAACCAATCTCTGCAGAACTGAAGTCACTGATTCATATTTAAACTAGATGGTGATGACTACGCAGTGACATCATCTGCTGCAAATGTTGGTCACACACTCCCTCACACACTTCGTCACACACTTCCTCAACACACACTCTTACCTAGATACAGTAAGGCTTTCTCCTTCTTCACGTCGTCGTTGATTCATATTTAAACTAGATGGTAATTTTTACGCAGTGACGTCATCTGCTGCAGATATTAAGCACTTCCTCACACACTTCCTCACACACTTCTTCACACACTTCCTCACACAGTCCCAAAACACACTCTTACCTAGATAGAGCGAGGCGTTCTCCTTCTTCACGTTGTCGTCCAGGTAGGTTGGCCCCAGAGTGTAGATGGGCGTTGACCCCATGCCCACCAGGATCTGAGCGATGACGAACAGCGCCACGTACAGGTTGTGCTCGTTTCCCTCCTGGTCTCTGGGACAGGAAGTGATGTCGACGCCTACCCTTCCGCTACCGTTAGCGTTCATACACAGGCCCTCATTTCCCGCGGAAGAATTTACCTCCTTGATCTGGTACGGCGGGGAAATGAAGTGAGGTAACGAGAATAACGCGGCTCCGACAGCGATGAAAATCCCGCCGACCGCCAACCAGCGAGGCCTTTGACCCCGACCGCCGAAATAACTGATGAACACGACCACCACGAGGCTCCCGATGTCGAAACAGCTCACGAGGAGCCCCGATTCAGAGCTTCTTAGGCTGTACCTCTTCTCGATGGTGGTGATGACGCTGCTGAGGTATCCGGACACCATGAGCGACTGGATGAACGTCAGGTAACACATGCAGAACAGGAAGCAGCGAGAGTCCTGGAGGATTACGTTCATGTACTTCTTGCTGGGTAGACGAAACCGAGCCAGGGTCGAAGACAAAAACCCCGCCGGCGGCTTCCTTCTAGCCATGTTTTTACTCCTTCGGATCTCCGTGTTCTCCATGTAGGAACTCGGTTGGTTCAGCGCCGACTTCCCAGACTTCTTTGTTCTGGTCGGGGACTCGGGCGGAAAAGACTCGGTTTTGGCCGGGAGTTGGATGAATTCAGCGCTCTCTTCCGCCGTTATGGACACAGAACTAGCCAGTAAGGTTTCCTCTTGAGGCCCTTCTTCATTTAAAATAGGCAAACTTTTTTCACATTGATAGCCCATATCCGGCTCTTCCATCTCGCTGGAGAAGTCGTCATCCTTCTGCAGGGATTCGGACAACTCCGCTTCCTCGTGATCAGCCATTATTTCCAGTCTTTTTTTGAGGGGTTAGAAAAATAACCAAGCCTTTCCTACGTCTCACAGTTCAGAGGCTGCTGTCCATTACATTCATTATTTATAGCTACTCCCACATATACAGTCTGGCACACAGAGGCCTCCAAAAAAAAAAGGAAAAGTAGACTCACAGCTTATCTGCAGTGCAGGCTGGACAGCAGCTGGTTATCTCGTAATGCACACTTCTGCCACCATTTAATCCAGAAGGTGGAAAACACTCAGGCCTGATCTGTTCGCCCAGCTGAGCTCCGGGTTTCTTTGCAGATGCAAAACATTTCCACTCGATGGCTTCCCTCAGCAGGACGCTTCTGCTCCGGCAGGGATGAAATGAACTTGCACAGCATCCCTGACCCCCCTGCCAATAAAGATCACACTGTTATAATAAAGCTTTTGGGAACATTAGATTATGGTGCACCCCCTATTCCTCATAACTCCTCCCCAAGTCAAGGGCATCACTCCCCCCTCCCTACCCCTAGCCGTCCCGATGGTACCAGCTGTCCTCCAGTTGTCATTTAGCGGCAATATTTCTGCTTAAATCCCTGGAGATGTGTGTGGAAAGAATTGAAAAATTGGTAAAAATGGTAGAGCCGTCGAGGAAAAGGCGACTGAAAGGGAGCTCGGATACTAAAGGCTGCCCAGAAACACCGCAGTGCTCAGCTGCTCTCCGTCGCTGTTTTGAAAACAACTGAGTCAAGCTGCAGAGATTATTAAGCAAGGGAGAGTGGAAGAGGATATTTCAAAATAAAAGCCTGACTTGAGTACTCCAGCTGTGCTGTGACGTATGTAGAAAAACAAAATATAAAACACTGATATTATACGTTTTGTGGTAAAAAGCATGTTTCTTTTAGGGTTAAAGAGAGAAAATATCAAGTGTGCAAAATGTTTGTAATGTTTATTTCACCATTAAATAGTTAATATACTAAAATGTCGCCATACATATTGTATTTTAACAAGTCTAGCCTTACTTTTAAATAGTACACTAGATTAATATGTTGAGCAAATTGTTATTTAGGGGAGTATTCTATTTTATTCTGTATATTTTATAGTGTTTAGATGCTCCTCTGAATATAGGTATTTTTACTGAGAATATTTATATTGTTTATTTACATTTTTAATTGGTTTATCTTTATTTATTCTGTATTTTTATTCAATTGTTTGAGTCATTTTGTTATTAGTGTTTGGTAAGGGATTGTCAACATGCTTATTTCCCAATGTAGGATATATAAAGTATCTATATATCTATGTTTATTTTGAAAAGTATAACCGGAAGTCTTCCTTCACTGCACGGCTAACTTCCAAGCTAACGGCTAACCCGCAGAGATAACGTTCACTTATGGATAAAACAGCAACAACAACAATATTGACTCATCGCTTCACTCACCTGTCTCTCTGGAGCGACCACACGGTTCTTTAAACCTTCATGTCCAAGTTAAACGATAAACTCTGGAAGGACATGCGGTTAAAAGCCGACAAAAACACACTCATGTCAAATAAAAACTCACCTGCAAAACATCGAGTTAGACAGGAAAGACCGGAAGCACTTTAAAATAAAAGCACGACGTGTCTGATTTAAAGGACACTGAACGTTATCTATTTTGTATTTAGCCACAGTGTTGACAAGTAACTAAGTAGATTTACTCAAGTACTGTACTTAAGTACAATATTGAGATATTTGTACATGTTATGCTACTCTGTACTTCTACTCCACTACAGTTCAGAGGTAAACTATGTACTTTTACTCCACTACATGTAAATACCTTTAGTTACTTTACAGATGTGGATGAATGATGTGAAATATCAACATCAAGTGTTAAATCAGACTTTAGTTCCACCTGGAGTAAATTCACAAGCTACCCTGCAGTATACAAAGTCCTTCAAACTAGCTGCACCTCAAAAGCGTATATATTACAGCACGATTTTTTTGTCGAATAGATTTGAGTGGTTCAACATTTCGGGTCGTGATTTATTGACAAAGGAAAAAGTGGGTCCCAAGGCCTGACCAGTTGAGAACCACTGATCTAGATCTCTCTATTTCTCATATATGAATGAAATTATTATTTTTTTTAATCCCAAATACTGTTTTTTTGATGAACAAAAAAAATTCTGAATTGAAATCTTCTAGGCTCTAGATATTTCACTGAAACCTTGACTGAAGCAGCAGGGGAGACGGTTAAAGGTCTCAAGATGCTTTGTTGTTGGTCTTGATACAAGTGATTTTTTTTTAGTCCTTTAAAGTACATAAACATACATAGATACTTTTGTTCTACTTGCTTTCATTTAGTTTTATGGTTTTAGCAATATTTCTGGTCATGTGGTTTCAAAGGATTCAGTTTAAGATAATGTTTTGTTATAATTTGGCCTATAGTTAAGGTCATTAAGCCACATGGAGAGGGAGATTTACTTTTCAGAAGTTTTTTCTTGACATGTTATCCTGTTAACAACAGCAGCCTAATCACCATTGCACACACTTTAAAAAGACAAACTTCTGAAACAATAATCCAAATGTAGCAGGTTGGAAATATGTTAAATTTGACTTAAACAGACTTATTTTTTGTTAATAATATAATCTTTCCAACACACTTGGAACTCCTAACATTTAGACAATAATACTGTAGTGTCAGTAGATGGCGCTCTGGCGCTGCTGTGGACCATTAGGGAGACTAGGGAGACTTAGGGAGAGCCTCATCCCAATACCCCTCCTCGACTCCTCTCTTCCCCTCCTCCGGGACTTGACCCGGAAATCGATCAAGACACCGCATGTTGAAGGACGTCCTGAAATGCACACGGAGGATTCGAGGAGGGGTGAGGGAGGAGGGGTGCGGGAGGAGACGAAAGGGAGGATACACGTGAGCATACTACGCGGAAGTGTTTTCACCACTCGCGTATAAAAGCCCCGCCCCCACCTTCACAGCTGGTCGATTTCAACAGAGGAAAACCGACAACTGGAAGATGAGTGGGAAAGCGTCACATAAATGTATAAGTGCTCACAGCTCCGTGGGAATTATTATGTCCGGCTGGTGGAAAATATTTTTGGTGGGGCTATGGAAATGGTGACAAAACCATACTAGGGCATTTAAAATCAGGAGACTAAATACGAACATTGTGTGTGTGTGTGTGTGTGTGTGTGTGTGTGTGTGTGGGTCTCCCCCATCAACCCACTTCCCGACCCGAGAACAAAATTAAAGAACTGTTACGCGTACTCGACTCGAGGAACCGATCAAGGGCCAATACCGATCTTCCTAGGCCAGATCACATTTATACTGCAGTGCAAGAGCCAACATTGGATACCAAAATGAGAGCAACATAGCCTCGCCGAAGCCTTTGTGAGATGCGTCAAATGACTCCGGTGTATATATTAACTCGCGTTATAAATATCTCTTTTGAGTCTGAATTATTTTGTGACGTCCCTTGTAAAATAACGTGTCCTCGATAAACCTAAAATACGCTTATGCAACTGACACGGACACTTATATTTGATGGTATCACCAACCACTAGATGTCCCAACAGAAGAAAAACTTGGGTCGTCGGCGATGTGGATAAAGGTTGTTAGTGAGGGACAGTATCTGTCATTAATATCTATCAAATCGAGAGGTATTAAGACGACACCGGTGACGACAATTGCTAGCATTGACTTCGACGGACGGTTGGCATTGTAAGTCGGTCACCTGTAAGCGGTTTGAGAAGGCCCTCTTAACAAATGTGTCGCCTGAAAATCGCGGAGTAGGTTATGGAGGAGGCTGAGAGGAAAGAGTGCATGGGGGTCGCGAGGGAAAGGGAACGTAGGAATCGAGGCGCGAGGCATTCTACGTCGCTCTCTGTTGCCCTCCACTTGGGCGTTCCTTGCTCCCAATAGCCATAATTAACGCCTCAGGAGCAAGTGAGTTTGCAGGAAATTCTGCAGGACATACACTGTCACACGTGTCGGACAAGGGGTAGAGTAGCCCGGAATTGACTTGATTGGTCTGGGCAGGTAAACAACACATTTATAAAACAAACATTTACTTACGTTACAAAGAGAACAATCATTCTTAAGTTTACATACTTTCACCCAAGCCAGGACGGAAAACACAACGCAAAACCCACATTATCGGGATGTAAATTTCGATTTTTACAGAAATATCATTACACTTCGAAATCTTCTACCCTGTGTCACCGCCGGGGCCAGGGTATCCCCGGCGATCCCCGCGGCGGGGGGAGAAGGGTGACAAACTAACAGAATTTAAGTTTTTTATATATAAGAAGGTGGGTTTGGGGCGGGCGCGGGTGGTTGTGGTGTGGTGTTTTGTTTAGTGATATCCATAAAAAGATAAAAATAAATAAGTTTTCTTTTCCATTATAATATATCAACCATAGTCATTTACATATTAATTTATTTAGAACAAATTGGTAAAAAAGAAGTGCTACAGGATGCGAGGATGACTGATGCAGGGCGGAGGGAGGGGGCGAGCGGCTCGCACATAGTAGATGGGGGAGGAGGCGAGTGGCCGGCCCCGCCATCCTTCTCGGGGAGTCCGTCATCGTCGAACGTTGTTTGTTCGACGGACCAAGTAGACATTTGATACGCGGCTGGTATTTGAAAATCGTTAGTAACAGCAGTCTAGACTCGGAGTTTCCCGCGAAACAGTCGCGGGACCGGGACACACAGGACAAATCTGAGCATAGGTCCGAGCTCGATGTCCATCGCCCTAGGACGGCGCAGACGTGCAACCTCTGCAGGGGGCATCCGGATCACCTAGCGGCCTCCGACACTAATTGTGAAGATGTACGTATAACATCAACCATTCCGTTACGACACGTGTACCTGATACACACCATGACCTGGACAATGAATCGAATGTCCTTTCCTCAGCTAGTCTCCCCCCAGCTCAAGACAGCTGAAGACAAGTCAAAAGGAGAAGGATTGGGAGAGTCAGAAACTCAAAGCGCGGGGCGGGCGACCATCTCGGCGATGGTACCTTTGGTTTGTGCCCACATGGACATAATTTCAGGCTGACCGTTGCGAGCACTCATAGACTTAAAACAGTCTTTAGCCTCTTACGCCACAGAGGGCGCTTAGCCTCCCAACC